CTGCAGCCCCCGATTTTCATTTTTGTATGATGTGATGGTACCTGCTTCTTCCTCTGCAGTCCCTGCAGGTTCCAGTGGGAGCTACGGAGAGGAAGGAGTCAGAAAAGCGAGCCCCTTACAACCCCATACCCACAGAACTCACATATTCAAACGCAGACCCAGACCCAGAAAGTCAGGCAGGTGTCCCGAAAGGTGTACACCCAGTGAGAGCCACTATTGACTCACGGAGGTAGGTACAGTCACCCCCATTTTACACTTGGACAAACCGAGCCTCACAGAGGTGGTAACTTCCTGAAGGCCACCAAAGTGATGAAAGGCAGAGCCAGGGTCCGAGCCCAGATGGGCTGGCTTCAGAGGCTCTGTGTTTAGCCGTCAGATTATTTCTGCCCCGTCCAGAGGCGACAGGAGATGAACGGCAGTGCTACACAAAGTGCTCAGTAAACATCATCTGGCACTAGTGTTGTCTTCATCCTGATTTTACAGATGAGAGACTGAGGAAGAGTGAGGCCACATAGCTGACCAAGTCTCAGAGCTGGAGCTAGAGCGCTGCAGCTGTGAACCCAGAGCTGGGAGCAGCTTTACAGACACTCCTCCCGCCCCCATATGCACAAACAGCTTCTGTTTTTCAGGAAAGCCAAAGCTTGGGCCTCAGGTGTGTTCCGGCCCACCCTGGGCAGAGGGGACTTGGCAGGGGGCCTGTCAACTCCCACCCTGGAGTGTGAAGCTCTGGGCTCGTGTCTGATGCTCTGTGGTGGCTAGGAGGTGTGTGTCCTGAGCTGGCTCTACCAGCCTGTGCTGTGCGTCCCTGGATGGTCCCTCCATCTTTGTGTTCTGCCAGCTCCACTTGGGAAGGTTACTAGGCCCTACATCTGGAGGAGGATTTGAGGGGTCTTAGAAGAAAGGTGTGGAGTACTTTCTGACCCTGATGGAGGGAAGGAGGCAGCCCACTGTCGAGGTGGACAGATGGAGCAAGGGCGGGCCACAGAAGGAGCCAATGACCCCACCTTCCTCCTGCCTGTGAAGAGTCCCTTCCATCTCCTGCAGAGGCGGCCTAGGAGTGGCAGCTGGAATATAGCATCCAGTGCTTTGCACTTGAGGGACCATGATTTGAATCCCTCCCTGCTGCTCTTGCACTCTTTTATCTGGAGCTACCCATCCTGGAGCCTCCCTGGTCTCATCTTGCCCCAGAGACACCTGTGCTTTTGAATAGTGAGCAACCCCTGGGGACCCTGTGTTGGCATTTGTGTTGCATGGACCAAACCTCATGTTAGGTTCAAATGTGGTCCCAGGTTTGCCCCTTGATGGCTGTGTGATGGTGGGTGAGCCATATCCCCTCTTGCCCCAGCTTCCTCATCTATAAAATGGAGCAAACACTGGTACCTAGCTCTTAGGTCACTGGCAAGACCAGTGAGAAGATGATCAGGAGGACCTGTTCAGACTTGCCCAGATCATGCAGGAGACCCTAGAACCCTGATTTATCCCCAGAACTTCACAGCAGATGTCTGGGCAAGAGTAAGCCCCCCTCCCCCGTGGTTTCCGGAGCGCCCTGGGCCACACTTCCGGGATCTGTGGCCAGGGGAGTCATTTCCTGAGCCACTTTCCTCTTCTGTAAGATGCAGGTAACAGAACCTGCCTTCAAGGGAGTGAGGTGATAAGAATGAGGCACACAGTAGGTGTGCAGGCCACAGGCCCGCACTGGGGTTCCAAAGCATAAGACTTGTCAGTGAAGCTGGGAGGAAAGTCCAGACTTCTGTCTTCTCTGGGAAACCTAGTGAAATTGAGCCTCCTTCCCACTTGCTCCAGAGTGATTCTGCATGCGCCCAGGAAAGTTTTTCAGGTCAAAGGGAGATGTGTTATTGGTCTCTGGCCCTGGGGGGAACCCTGGAGGGCTGTGAGGATGTACTGAGGGCCTCCCAGGGGAATAAACCAGAGGGTCATGCAGGAGAGAAGGCAGAGTAGGAATTTCCTGGCCCTGAAGCATCAGAGGCAAGAGTTAAAACCAGAGCCCCTTCCTTGGGCATCCACGGCTCAGTGGGAGCGAGGCCCTGCTGGGGGTCGGGGGAGCAGTCCCACGGAGGTACCTTCTGCCATCATGATGCGATGCAGTAACAGTCTTGCTGTGTATTGAGGAAGCCAGCAGACAGGTCAGGAGAGGCTCCGAGGAGGCGACCTTTGAGCTGAGCCCTAAAGGTTGAGCAGGGTTTTACCAGAGGTGAGTGGGGGTTGCTGAGGACTTTTTAGGCTGAGAGAATGGCACAGAGGCTTGGTGGCTTCAGAGCAGTGACTGGATTGTGCAGTAGTAACTGCAGTCGCTTTCTGATGGTGGGATTCTCACTGTGTGGCCTAGGGCAGGTCATTTCACCTCCTTGAGCCTCAGATCCTCACCCTTAAACAGACTGGTTACCCAGTCTGTGGGGTCGGCCTCTCAGTAAAGGCCGGATGTCAGTGCATTTAAAAATGCCAAATCCCCTCAGGCCAGGAGGAGATTATTGAGTAAGATGTGAAGGATAACAGGGCTGCATGCAAATTAAATGGCAGGAAGTGAAGGTCAGGGTGCATCTAGGCCTGAATTCAGAGATGGGAGAGTTGAGCGCAAGCTGGAGACTTCACAGCTTCCTGTAAGAGGTAAGACGGGAGCAGAGCCTTGAAGGACAGAGATGAGGAGTGGCTTGGTAGAAAGGAAGAGGAAGGGCATCCCAGGCACATCGGTCAAGCTGAGCAAAGGCAGGAAGGGGGCAGGCAGGGAAGGCTAGGAGCGCCGCTGTAGTTGTGGGAGAGAGGCTGGGCAGAGGTGGACCTGAAAAGTTTGGTGAGGGAACCTTGTCTTGTTGAGCACAGCCCGGAAGGCCAAGCATTATGGAGCCATTGCAGGTTCTAACCCAACACGAGTGAAAGAGGTGATCTTAATGTAGGTAGGTACCTTCAAATGTGAGAAAGATTTTCTAATTGCGTTTACATAGGAAGAAAAATAAAAGGTTGGAAGGGATTTAGGAGAAGGAAGAGTTGATAAGGAGAAGGTTAGAAAAAGGCATCCCCATTTATTTTCATGCACACATAGTTTAACTGTGATAGAATGTGGCATTCCAGGTAACATCTGTAGCACTGCCTCATGAACTTGATCTTGTGTCCTTAGAGATCTGCAAACGGTGCACAGGCACCACCTTCAGTCATTGTATTGCTGGCTGCACATCCAGTGTGGTGTCAGATTATTGCTGGCCTAAACAACACTTCGATAAGCACGTCTGTTCCCCAGACTTGCTTCTGGATTGTTTCTGTTGGATCGCCTTCCTGAAGGGGGATTTCTGACTCTAAAGCAATACAGGTTTTTTTTATGGCTTAAAATATTTAAAACACTCTTTTACAGTAAATTTCTTTAGTATTTCTAGTAATTTATACAGTGTAGGGTTTAAAAAAAAAAAGAACAAATGTACGAGGGGAGGATATGGCTTAATTGGTAGAGCACATGCTTAGCATGCACAAGGTCCTAGCACGTCCTCTAAAAATAAGTAAATAACCTAATTACCTCCCCCCACCCCCAAAAAGAACAAATGTATAAAAGCATATACAATAAGAGGTCTATCCTCAACCCAGTGCTCTCTCCCAGTTCTCCTTGAGGACAATTGTTAGTTTCCTGTCTATCCTTCCGGAAATATTCTATGCAGATACTGTATATACCCAGTGTTTTTTTTAATTGATACTGTTATACTGTGTTCAGTATCTTGCTTTCAATTTTATTTTTAAATTTGGGATTATGAAATATACTAAATTAGCACAGAAAATCACACACACACACACCACCACCACCACCCCCGCTAGTAGCCTGCCACACAGCTTTAACAAATGTTTAACATTTTATGTTGATATCTTGTTTAGGGCTGTCTTAAGAGGTAGCCGAATGTCAGAGCTCCACACAGAGGAGTTGATTATATGCGTACACCATTCTTTATTCGGCCTGTTCCCAGCTCTTGGAAATTGAGGGTTTTTTTTTTTCCTTAAATAATTGAGTGGAGGTAATACCCCACCTTTTATAATATCTGCCTGAGGAGGCACCAAGGCAAAGGGGAGCAAAGCTCGGCTTTGGCTTGGGTTCAAGTAGCTGCTCAGCCACTCTACATAGCTGTGTGACCTGGGGTGGGTGACGCCCCTCTTGATTCTTTTTACTCATCTGTAAAATGGGTAGGTTGTAGTAATCCGTCTCATAGTTGCTGGGTGGAGGAGAGCAGAAACTTAAGACTTAATTGGGTTTAGTTTCCCAATCCCTTTAGGCAGGGAACTCTCCGCGGGACGCCAAACTCTCCTGGCCTAGAGCAATTAGAGCGCCGGACCACAGCTCCTCAGCTTCAAACTGTTCCCCGCCCCTTTCCCCGGCCACGCTGGGGGCGGGGCGGTTGAATGTTTCTGTGATGTCAGCGTGCGCAGGGCCAATCCCCCTTCCCGGCAAGCATTAGCTTATTTGCATGGGTTGCCCATTATTGGTTCGTTGGGCAATCCAGGCCGTCCCAGCTTTTTAAAGCCACCGCGTAGTATAAACAACGAGATGCGGGGCGGACAGGCCATGATGTCATCGCGGCGCAGTAGCTCTCAGGGCTGACGTCATCTCCGGGGAGGTAGCCCGCCCAGGGCTCTTAGGGCCCTCCTAACCATTCGGGCTGGCTGGTTTAAGAGGCCGCTTCTGCCCCGTCGAAGGGCAGCTCCATTGCACTTCAGTGTCCCAGGCGCCGCCTTGTCCTGAAGAGGGGACCATGACACAGTAAGTCCAGGCTGCGGCTCTCAAGGCGGGACCCAGTTCTCCGGCAGGGAAACTGAGCCTCAGAAGCACGAGTGATTCGCGAATTTGCATAGCAAGTTAGAGTTGCAGCCGATTTGTCTTGCCCACCCCGGGGTCTCCCATCTTTAGATCAGGCCATGTGGCCCCGCCCCTTGCCTGCGATGGCTGCGGCTACTTTAAACGAGAAGGTGGGGGCGAGAGGGTTTTTTTTTTTAAGGAAAAAAAAAAACCTGCCTTCCAAGATGGCGGCCCAGTAATCACGTGCCGAGCCGCGGCGGGTGATTGGGTCTCCGTGCTACCGCGGGGCGGAGCTCTTGGTGAGGGGCGGGGCTTCCGCGGGCAGCAGCCGGTTACTGTTTGCCGGAACCTCCCGGCGCGCCCCCGCGAGTCCCCCTCCCGCCTGGCGCGCGACCCCGCCGTTTCGAATGTTGTGAATCAAATGTGGGGTTTGTTACATTCCGCTGCCGCCGCGGACAGTTCTTAAAGGGCCAGCCGCCGGCAGCTGCGCAAACCGGGCCGCGTCCTGCGCCGCCTCCCGCTCCCCGAGGGCCTGGGCCTAGAGACTGACTGCGCGTGGGCCTCGCGAGGCAGACGCCCGGCGGACGGACAACAAAGAGAGGGGCCCGGAAGGAGCCGGACTGCCCCTGGACCGGGGGGTGGGAGGGGAGCACATTGTTCCGCAGGGCGGGGGCTCTTAAAGGGTCCAGGCAGCACACCCCCACTCCCCGCCCCCTACCCAGCTTGGCCGTCCTAGATCGGGAACAAAGGAGTCAACGTGTGGCCAGGCGGCCGAAGGTGAGTCGGGCCAGAGCCCCCAACTCCCGATTTCCGCATCCTTGGAACTCCCGCCCCCCTCCCCTGGGACTGGGGGCTGTGATCTAGCTGGCTCCGCAGGAGTTAATCACGGGCAGTCCGGAGCGGGAGCGGCGAGGCCTCCAGAACCAGGGACCCCTCCCCATCCCCAGCGCACCCCAAGGCCTGGCCGAATCTCCCTTCTCCCGAGGCGAGGCAGAGCGCTGCGGTTGGAGAGGAAGGAGCCGCCCCCTCCCCCTGCCGCCGCCACTTCCTTTGTTGTTGCTTTTGTCTCACGCCGAGCACATGGTCCGGGATCCTTGGCTCTTAAAGTCACAGCGCTCCGTCCCCGACGCCGCAGTGTGGCCACCCGCCCCTCATCTCCCTCTGAACACGGCATAAAGGAGTGAGAGGGGGACGAAGGAAGACCCTCTTCGGGCGAATATCAGCACTTCGGCCCACTGCCCCCATCCCTAGGGAAGGATGGCTGAGGAAGCTCCTCAGAACCCCACAACCCGCGCCTGGCCCATACTGAGGAGGGGCACTGGTGCTCTCCCCCACTAATATGACTACCAGGTTTCTTGTCTCTTCTGGTTTTACTTGGGAGCTCTGGGAAGAGAGGTTTCTACCCCCATTTTACAGTTGTGGCAACTGAGATTCACAAAAGTGAAGAGATTTCCTTGACCAAGGTCACTCAAGTAGTCTGGGGTAGCAGAAGACTCTTAGCTACCAGCCTGGTGGTCCTGCCTTTAGCTCCATCCAGGCATTGCAGCTGGGGAACTCTGCTTGCCTGCTAGGCAGTGCTGGTGCCTTTGCGGGGGGAGGGGGGGTTGGGAGGAGGAAGAGGGCTTCTAAACCTGCTTGAGTGTGCTTCTGTTCTCTGGGCCTGACTTGGCTTATCTGCACAACAGCTCCCAAGCCCAAATGGTATGGCGGGGTCTCCCTAGACCAGGATGGTGTATAGCTGCTTGGGGCACTGGAAGTAGAGAGTTGGCTGCCCCCTGGGGAGACGGTAGATGCAAGGTGCAGTGCCTGCTTCTGGGCAAGATTGGATTTAGGGACAGGACCTTCAAGACGCATTTACCCAGACCTCATTGAGAGCCCAGACAGGAGAGGTATGGCAAAAGGCGGAGCAGTTAGGTGGTGGTCACCTGGCCAACCCTTGCTGTTGACCTTGAGCAAGTTGCTAGCTCCAGCTCCAGCTCCAGCCCTCACTCACTTCTCTCCACAATGGGCCTAGTCAGGATGCCTGAAAGAGAAAGCTCTCCTGATCTCTTTTAGGGCCTGGAATAGAGAATTGAGATTAGGTAGTTCTTGGGGCTATGGATGGGGTTGAGGGAACTGGGGCCTGTGGGCCAGCCAGGACTAATTCTGTCGCTCTCTGGCTTTATGGTTTGGAGCAAGTTACTTCCTTTCTCTGGGTCTCAGTTTCTTCAACTGTGAAGTAAGTGTGTCTACCCTGGGGCCATCTCTGTTCCCAGTCAAGAACCCGGGCCCCCTCCCTTGCCAGCTGCGGTATTCCCAGAGGGAGGCACATTTCCTGGCTGTCTCCTTCAGGTCTTGAAGTGGCACCTGATTTCTGCTTGGGGGATGGGGGTGGAAGCCATCCTGTCTTATTTTCTGATAATGATCATTCACACCTAAGCTTTACAAATCACTGCTGTGGCCTTTGAGCAGTCCTTGCCAGTCCACCGGGTGGTGATTATTACTAATACTGTTCCCATTTTACAGATGAGTTAGCTGAGGCTCAGGGGAAGCAGTGTCCAGTCCTCAGCTAAGACTCTGGCCAGAAGTCAGGGTAGCATGTGTAAGATGCAAGGTTTGGTACCATTGTCCCCAGCTAGAGGCCCTTCTGTCTGTTGGTTTGGTTTCTCAGCTCCTTGCCACTTCCCTTTCCTGAGGAATGGGTGTCTTTGAAGAGGTTGGCCAGAGCAAACTGCCGTGGGCCTGGGCCTGGGCCTGGGCCTCTGTGGTTCCGCACCCCGGAGCCTGCACACTGCCCAGGCTTCAGCAAGACAGCTTGGGACAAGAGGCGCAGTGAGGGCACTGCCGTGTCCTCGTGCACTCACAGCTCCCGCTCACTGGCCTTGGACCGGCCTCTCTGAGCCTCAGTGTCTCTGCCTCTGGGGGTTGTTTTGAGGACTCATGAGGATGGCCCATGGGAAGTGCTGTAGTTGGTGTTGTTAACACCCCTCATTGGCAGGCCTGCGGGCTCCCAGGATCTCTGAGGTCAGTTAGGGTAGAGGTTCTCAAGCCTGGCTGTGCTGCAGGAACCGCTGGGGAATTTGCGCCCTTGTTCAGGAGGTCTGGGCCAGGCCGAGAGTCTGTTGTTTCAGTTTTTGGGGGGTTTCCTCTGACTCTTAGTGTTTGTTTGCTCGGCTGGGTTATCCGCAGGCTGTGTGTGTACGTGTGTACGTGTGTGTGTGTGTGTGTGTGTGTAAGGCCATGTGCTTGGCCCAGGCCAGAGGTCACAAACCAACTCACCTGTGGTGGGCAGGCAGGGAGTGGGCTTGCGGCGGCCTAGAGGGAAAGCTCATGCGCAGAGTGAGGGGGACCACGCAGAATGAGGGCCCAGTGGGACCAGATTATCTGTTTCCTGCCACCCTTCCCACAAGGCCAGGTTTTTATGTAGTCTCCCAGTTTTTGTTTGCTTGTATTTTTGCGGGGGGGAATTAGGTTTATATACTTTTTTTTTTAATGGAAATACTGGGGCTTGAACCCAGGACCTCCTGCATGCTAGGCATGCACTCTACCACTGAGCTATACCCTCCCCCCTGTCATCTCCCAATTGTTAATCACTGGCGCTAACTTCACTGCTGCCAGACTGTGGCCGTATGTAATCGGCTCTCCAGTGTGCATTTACTACATCGAGCCTGCCCTGTGCTGGACACAAGCTGATCACTGGGCCCTGCCCTCCCCTCTGCCAAGTGCTAGAGCCCAAGTTGGGCAGGGAAGGCATGAATTCTAGCCCTTACGCTTCCTGGCCATGGCCTTGGCCCCATGCTGTAATCAGGTAGAGAAGAGCCTCCCCTGCAGCCTTGTTTAGAGATTTAGGGCCCAGGTAAAGCTCAGCACAGAGGAAATGTTCTTCCCACTGTTGGCAAGAAGGAACAAGGTGTTGAGGGGACAGCACACCAGTTCCCCGGCTGTGTCAGCCAGGTGGTGACACTTAAAGCTGGGTATAAAGGAAGCATAGGAGCTTGGTGGGATGGAGGCTGGGCTCCCTGTGGCAGGAACAGCCAAGGGCTGGTCCTATTAGATGCACCCTTCAGGGCCTGACAGGTTCCAGGCCTTTCCCTGCCAGGGCCTCACTCCAGCCTCTGGAGTTAATGACAGTCCCCCCAACTTCCCCACCTGGATCCCAGCTCCGGCCCCGCCTCATTCCCACTCACCTTCCTCCCTTAGATTTAGGTGCATGCTTCCTTTTTTTTCTCAGCAAGCCCCACCTCCCACCTGGGGGCTGTGTTGGTCAGGTTTGTCCATCCCCCAGCCCCTTCCTGCCCCGCCTCCAGTCCTCCAGAGGCTCACTTCCTTCATCACCTTCTGCAACAGGGTGCAGCAAGAGGCTTGTAGTCAGCTTACCTCCCAGCTTTGACACTTCCTGTGGGGCCATGGGCAAGTCCTTTCCTGTCTCTGAGCCTCAGTTTTCTCTTCCTCAAAATGGAGCTAACAGTACCTTCCTTGAAGACTAGATGGAGACCACTTGAGTAGGCGCTGCGGGAACAGGTTATGGAAAGAAAGCATACAGTCGGCCCTCTATGTTCATAGGCTCCACATTCATGGATTCAGCTAACTGCAGATTGAAAATATTGGGGAGGGGGCAGGATTCTACAGAGTTGTAAAAGCCAAAACTGGAATTTACCACTTTCGTGGCTCTTACGCTCTATTAGGTGTCATACGTAATGTAGAAATGGTTTACATTAAGGTCCATGGGACGATGTGTGTAGGTTATTTGCAAATGTTACACCATTTTATATAAGGGACTTAAGCATCCTTGGATTTTGGTATCTATAGGGGATCCTGGAACCAATCCCCTGTGGGTACGGAGGGACGACTGTACTGACTTGTCTTGGGTTGGGAGCCCTCGAGAGCAGGCACTGGGTCAGAACCCCTGACCCCTGACAGTGGAAGGAGAACTGGGCCCCAGGCCTATTTGGAGTCGTCCCCACCGCCCCCGCCCCAGGAACCCTGGTTATCTGGAGGTCAAAGTTGCAGACTGTCACACCAGTCTAGGGTTCCCTGGGGACCCCACCCTGAGGGAACCTCACCAGAGCCACCTGGCCTGGAAGCATGCTGGCCAGCCCTCTGAACTTACCACAACCCTGAGGGGGACCCTGATCTCACTTCAGAGCAGGAAATGGGAGGCCTGGGCTCCCTGCAGGCCGAGCCTGTCCCTGGTCTGTCAGCCCTGAACCCCGGTGCTACAGTGCATGCTGCATGGGGAACACGGGGGCGTGGTGGACCCAGTGGCCCACCTCTGGTACCAGGCTGCAGGGGGTTGATGCTGTTTCCGCCGACCCCTAATGGAGCAAGGGGCTGGACTTCTCTGTGCCTTAGTTCCTTTGTCGGTTTGTCTCCTAGGGTTGTGAGCCCCGGCCCACCCCTCCACCCCTCTGCCACCCCCGATGCAACCATGGGCTCTGGCAGTGACTAGGTGGCTGCCCTCCGTCCCTGTGGGTCAGCGGCGATTCTCTGCGGGACCCGGCAGCAGCCCGGGCCAGCTCCGGGGAAGGTAGGAAGGAACCTCCCAGTCCTGCCGAGCCTGAGCCCCCGGTGCTGGAGCTGTCAGCCCGGGCTGGGGGCACGGGGGCCAGGGGTGGCGGGGCACAGGGCCCTGAGCTATCTCCCTTCCCCAGTGGGTAGTGACCGTGGCTTCTCTCCATGCTCTGTGAATGAGCGGCCCCCCTCAGTCCTCCTGGGGCCTCCTCTCTGTGGTGCAGCCCCGGCCGCGAGGGCCCCCTGGCCAGCCCACCTGCCCAGGATGAGCGCTTACCCTCCCAGCAGCCGCCGCCCCGACCAGCACACCTCCCTGTAGAGGAGCGCCGAGCCTCGGCTCCTGCCGGCGGGAGCCCCCGAATGCTGCACCCAGCCTCCCAGCAGAGCCCGTTCATGGTTGATCTCCATGAGCAGGTAGGCGGGATGCTCCCCCCCCACGCCCCCCCACCCCGTTGCCCCTGGCCTCTGGCCAGCCAGTCTGAGGAGCAGAGGGAACAGCCCTGACTTCACCTGCTGAACTCATTGCACATCCGGGGAGGCACCGTTAGCCCTGTTTTACAAGTTGGTAAATTGAGGCCCAGAAAAGGGAAGGGCTGTTCCTGGGGCTGCACAGAGGCTGAGTGGTGGAGTCAAAGCCCCTCCCGGGTTCCCAGGGGGCTCTCTGCTCTCTGGGGCCTGGGGCAGGGGGACAGCCAGGTCTGTACCTGGGTAGGCCCCAGCCACAGAAGGGAAGGGAGCTGCCCTGGTAGGACTTTCTCACGTGGGAGCAGCCGAGTGGCCTCCCTCCAGTTCCTGGGTCTCTCTCTTCCTACAGGTGCACCAGGGACCTGTCCCTCTGTCCTATACGGTCACCACAGTGACGACCCAAGGCTTCCCCTTGCCTACAGGCCAACACATCCCTGGCTGCAGTGCCCAGCAGCTCCCAGCATGCTCCGTGATGTTCAGCGGGCAGCACTACCCCCTCTGCTGCCTCCCGCCCCCGGTGAGTGAGCACCTGGGCCTCCTACCCCACCCCCGGCTGAAGCCCCAGGCACAGGCCAGTAGCAGAACTGAGCTGAGCTTACCTTGCGCATCTAGGCTGACAGCCTCTACCCGCCTCCAGCCACAGCCCTGTCCAGAAAAGTGTCCATGCATTCGTGTGCAGTGGGAGAGCGTTTCAGGGTTCCGGGACCCCCCTGCATCCCAGCGCCTGCTTTATGCTTTGGAGCTGTAACTGTGGGTCTTAAGAGCGAGATGCCCCGCCTGGGAGGCCTAGGCCAGGGATGGATGGTCCAGAGGACTTTGGTTGGGACCTCTTGCTGGGTAGTCTGGCCCCTGGCCCTGGCTCCAAACATAGGCCCAGCCCAGAGCCCAGAAGAACGTTCTCCAGCCCCACCCACTTTTCAGCAGCTGATCCAGGCGTGTACCATGCAGCAGCTCCCTGTGGCCTACCAGGCCTACCCCCACCTCATCTCCAGTGAGCACTACATCCTGCACCCACCGCCGCCAGCCCCACACCCCCAGCCCGCTCACATGGCGCCTCTTGGGCAGTTTGTGTCCCTGCAGACTCAGCACCCCCGCATGGTGAGTCTGGACAACGAGTCTGACGCCAGAGGGGACCGCAAGGGGCTGGGAGGTGGGGCTTCCCCTGTCGCTGACTCTGCTGACCCCCCTCCGCTCCCTCCAGCCCCTGCAGCGCCTTGACAATGACGTGGACCTGCGGGGGGATCAGCACCCCCTAGGGAGCTTCACCTACTCCACCTCTGCCCCGGGCCCGACCCTGTCCCCGTCCGTGCCCCTGCACTACCTGCCCCACGACCCCCTGCACCAGGAGCTGTCCTTTGGTGTGGTGAGTGCCATCCCCAACCCAGGCTTTAGGGTGCCCGGGAGACAGACCTGCTCTGACCTGCACCTGGCCCCCCTCCCACAGCCATACTCCCACATGGTGCCTCGGAGACTGAGCACCCAGAGATACCGCCTGCAACAGCCGCTGCCCCCGCCGCCCCCGCCGCCTCCCCCACCACCGTACTACCCCAGCTTCCTGCCCTACTTCCTGTGAGTACTAGCACCTCTGCCCCAGGGCCGTGGGGCTCTGTTCTCTGGGGGCCTCCAGTGATTAGACCCAAATACAGCGCCAAGGGGCCCCAGGGCCTCTCAAGCCACTTGGCCTCTTCACTAAACCACACACGCACACTCACGCTCACCAGCTGGGCTCCCTGCCCTCCTCTGACAACCTGGGACAATCACTGGGGTCCCTGGTGTGAACCGTGCAGAGTTCTGGGGTTTGTTTCTTGGTGGGAGTCAGGGTAATAGCTCTGCGCCCCCTCTGCCTTCTGACTTTGACCCTGGGCCCGCATACCTGTCTCTCCCTAGCTCGATGCTGCCAATGTCACCAACAGCAATGGGGCCCACCATCAGCCTGGATCTTGATGTGGATGACGTGGAGATGGAGAACTATGAGGTCCCGTGAAGCCCTGTCCTGGGAGGTGGGGTCTTGGGGGACCTCCAGCCCTAGCCGCCCCTGACCCTCCCCTCCTGCCCACGTCCAGGCCCTCCTGAACCTGGCAGAGCGGCTGGGAGACGCCAAGCCCCGCGGCCTCACCAAAGCCGACATCGAGCAGCTGCCATCCTACCGCTTCCACCCCGACAGCCACCAGTCGGAGCAGACGCTGTGAGTGCCCTGACCTCCTCTCCTGCCCGTCTGTGAGCACGGATGGGCTGCAAGGGGACCCTTCCTGGGGGGCTTCGTGCTCCACCATGAGCCTTCCCTCACCATCAGTGTGGGGGTGACCCCTGTGCCTTCCTCCCAGGTGTGTCGTCTGCTTTAGTGACTTCGAGGCGCGGCAGCTGCTCCGGGTCCTCCCCTGCAACCACGAGTTCCACACCAAGTGTGTCGACAAGTGGTTGAAGGTAATGCAGCCATGCCGGCTCCCAGGTGTGGTGAGGGAGGAGGGCGGGCTTGGAGGGCTTCCCTTCACGTCCTTGTCAGCATCTAGAAGTTCTGGCTCCATTTAGGCAGCCAGGTCCCCACCAGGCAACGGAATAGCCCCAGGTGGGATGGGGGATAGGGGAGAGTGGAGCCTGATGTGCGGCTGCTCCCCGCAGGCTAACCGGACGTGTCCCATCTGCCGGGCCGACGCTTCCGAGGTGCCCAGGGAGGCTGAGTGAGGCCCACAGCCACCCAGGAGAACCCTGCCCAAAGCTCTGGAAACTCGGGGTGCCCAGGGAGGCCGGGGAGGCAGTGGCCCAGGCCTGTCCTGCCGTTCCTGCCTGCATCTCCAGAGCTGGTGCCAGGGTCGGCCCGAGAGAAGCCCCTGCAATAAGCCCCTGCATTTGCCAAGCTCCAAAGACTCCCTCCCCATCTGCCCGCCAGTCTGCCCGCCACGGAGCGGCCTGAGTGTCCCTAACTCGGTCTCTCTCCTGTTTGCCCTTGGGTCTGTCTCCTTTTCCTACTGGCACTGGGAGCCAGGGTCTGTTCCCCCAGTGCGGCTGGTGGAGACCCTTAGGCCCCGGATGGGCAAGGGGGTGCTGTCCTGGGTTGCCTGGTCTCCTGCACTGCAGTGGTGTGTTCTCTGCCCAGGTGGCACTGACAGGCGTGGACAGACAGTGGCAGGAGGCCAGTGGGTCCTCCCGCCTTGACCCCAGACAGACTCAGGCAGCCAGCTCCACTCAGGCTGCTGCGAGGGGTGGGTCTGGCTCCCTAGGGGACCCTCACCCCAGGCACAACATTCCAGCCCCACCCCTGGCTGGAGGGCATCAGAGCCAGCCTCCTGAGCAGTGGGGCGGCATGTACCCTGAGGGGGCCTGGGCCCAGCCAGGGAGAGGGACCTCCTGTGTTGCTGGTGGCTGCCCGTCCCTGGCTGTGCCGGGGCCCAGCCCCGCCCCCCGTCTCCCTCTCTGTCGTTTTGCATGAACGTGAGGAGCAGCAGTTTTCGTTTATTCATTTGGCCCAAAATCGCGTGTAGGATTTGGGGGTGTGGACTTTTAAACAGTTTCTTTTCTTTTGGTTTAATGGGGGGTACAGGGACCAACCAGGGCCAAGTGCCCAGGGGGCAGGGAGTGGTGTGGTGGTGCCGCCTGCTCTGCGTTGCATGCGCGCTGCTGGGGCTGGGCTGGGCGGCTGGCGGTCGTGGGCGGGGTTGAGGGGGGTCTGTGCTCAGCTGATAACTGCCATGCACTGTACTGCACACGTCCCCAGGGCCTACCGGGACCGTACGCTTTTCAGGGCATTTCTCCCTCTCCAGCCAGGGCCTGTCTCCCACCTGCCTGGGCGAGTCTCCTCTGAGGAGGTCCCCGGAAGACCTCTGGGGGCCCCCTCCCAGCCTGAGCCCTGCCCTCCAAGGTCTCGAGGAGCCCCCATAAGGTCTGGCTGAGCTCCCCACCCTCACCTTCCCTGTCCCATTTCTTTCCTTTATCACCCCCAGCTGGGGTTGCTGCCCGAACGAACCGCGTGTGGGGCCGGCACATCCTAGCAGGCAGCCCCTGGCGCCTGCTGCCTCAGGGATGCTCCAACCACCCTCGTTCTCCCCGCAGCAGCCCTGGCTCCCTGCCACACACCCCCACCCCACCCAGCCTGCCATGGGGCCCCATCAGCCTGGCCCCACCCGGTGGAGAACCCAAAGTCTTACTGTATATAACTCCAGGTGACATTTCTATATTTATAGCAGTGTTGAAACCCCACGTGTTTTACACAGAGAACCACCCTCTCCAATCCCCTCCCTTCCCCACCCCCCAAAAAGGTTTTGCAAAACCCTTACGGTTCCCGGGGCAGGCGGAGACAGGCTCATGGGTTGTGCATCGGCTGCAACAGTGATTCCAACGAGCAGCTGTTGGGGGGGAAACACAACATGAAAAAAAAATCATTAAAAAAAAGATTTATAAGACAATTACTTAGGATGTTTGTGATTTGCCGACCTTGCTATAGATGCCATGTTACCAATGATTTCCTGTGGTGGGGGCTTGTCATTGTTTACTCTTTCATTTACCAACTTCTGGCCTAGGCATGACAGTGGGCACCATCCCCCCAGCCCCGGCTGGGCCCGGCACCTGTGTTCTGTGTTAGAAAGGTCTTATATATATATATAATTACATATATATATATAAATATATGTAACTTTGGGGGCCCTGTTCCTTGCACATTTTACAGTTACCTCATTTTTCCCATGTATGTATTTGAGAAAATGCTAATATATAGAGAAAAAAATGGTTCTTAAAGCTTAAATGTGTGGTTTTTTCCATTCCATTGGATTCACATTGGTTTGTAGCATTTAACATAACTAGTATGTTGTACTATATGTATGTGTATACTGATTGAAATTTTTAACAGATTTGTACTTTTTTTAAAATGAAAGTTGCTAGTTCTGCTTGACCAAGTAGTGCAATCATTATTTTTTTTAATATTGTTGCTGATTTCAGAGGGATATTCACTAATAAATGTATGATGTATACCAAGGATCGCCCAGGCTGCCTTTGGCTGCCTGTCTTCTTGCTCTTTTGTTGGGGGTGGGGGTGGGGGCTGTTGGCATCAGTCTGAGAGTGGGTGGGAGACGGGGATGAGGAGGGCAGAAACGGCTGTTCTCTGCTGTGGAATCTTGGAGGAAATGATACCACCCGATCAGGAGGGATCTACGGGGATCTGCCCGCCGATTCAGTAAACTTACTCTGTACCAACCTGCTTCACATGCAAATCAGGCAGGGTCCCCTCTAGCTAGTTCGAGGAAAGTGGCACTTAACTAGCCTGTCCCTGAAGTTCTGGAAGGAGGTTCTGCCGCAGCCTGACTGGATCTCGCTCACACACGTCATCAGGAACCAAGGTCTCCCTGCATCTCACAACCTTGTTCTGTGTGGTGCTTCCTGGTCGTTCTAGCTCAGTTTCCTCTAATTGAGCATCCTCTCCCATGTGAACACTTTTTCCCTCCTAAGAATTCTAACAATTTCTGGTCTGAAGTCTTGTTAGGCCATCAGGTTGTGTGCCCATCCCTCAACCATGTGCCCCCGTTAGGGAGCTCGAACAGTGTGACTGGCCCGACCCGCATCACACCCACACACCCATGGGCCCCACTGAACCTATACAGGATTGGGCCCCTCATCCCCAAGCTCAGTGGGACCAAGGGCTTGAGAGCCACCAAGGGGACCAGACTGGTGATGGTACGTTGCTCTTGCCTGTGATAGTGTGTGGTGCTGCGATTGGGAGCAGTGGGCGGGGCGGGGCTGCGATGCCACTACCTGTGATCTTGGTCAGGGTACTTTCAGCCTTGGGTCATCTGCAAATCAGGGGACAGACTCAGCTGAGTGACTCCCTGAGTGTGTTTCAGAGAAATTTCCTGTGGAACATAATAGGGTTTGTGCAAAAACAGGGCTCTGTGCTCAAATAAGTGGGAAACTCCAAGTTGAAAGCAGCAGGAGCCTGTATTACAGGGCTTCTCTGAGCCTTGGCTCTGCTGATGTGTGTTGTAAATCTCTAGCAGTGGGTACATTTCTCTGTGCAGCGTTTCCTACACTGCACTGCCCTGGCCACGTGTAGGGCTCAAGCTGCATGCTCTGGAGTGCTCTGGGCGTGGTGGGCTCAACCAGTGGGAGCAGCTGAGTTCCCAGGGCCCTAGTCTGAGAGGACTGTCAGATGGGGAAGACTTTAAAATGTTTTCAATATTTCAAAAAGTCTGTAGGAAAGGAAGAATCACATCATTTCAAGTGATACAAAAAAAGGGGGGGGGTGGCAAAATTCAACATTCATTCATGATAAATTGACAAAGATCATCTACACAAAAGCCTACAGCTAACATCATCCTTAATGATGTGAAAGGCTACATACTTACCAGCTCTGAGCTCAGGACCAGGCAAGGGTATCCATTTTCACTACTTCTGTTGATGTCACACTGAAAGTCCTAGCCAGCACAATAAGGCAAGAAAAAGGAAATCTAATTAGGCATGCGGATTGAAAGGAAGAAATAAAACTAACTCTTTTTGTAAATGATATGATGAAGTTCTTGCATAGAAAATCCCAAGGAACCTACAAATGACCACAACTAAATGAGTTCATCAGGTCAGGGTACAAGTTCAATATACAAATAGTAATTGTATTTCTATATACTAGCAATGAACACACAAATTGAAATTAAAAAACCCCAGTGACACTGTTTATAATCACTTGAAGGAGAAGTTAAATACATGTATATATCTGACAAAACAGGACTTACATGTCGGTAACTACAAAACGTGGATGAAACAAGGGAAAGAACTATATAGACGGAGAAACATGTCATGTTCTTGGATTGGAAAGCTCATCTCTTCCCAAATTGACCTGAAGGTTTGATGCAATGCCCATCAAAATCCAGAGAAGTTTTTTTTTTGTTTTGAAATACAGACATGCTTATTTTAAAATTTATATGAAAAGGCAAAGAAATCTGAATACCTAAGACAATGTTGGAAAACAAGAATCAAGTGAGAAGGATCACGCTGCCTGATTATCAGCCTTCACTGTAAGATGCATCCATCAAGACGTTTCTTATCAGCAGAGGGACGGACAAGTGGATCAGCAGAACAGAATAAGGAACCCAGAAACAGACCCACACAAGTACCACCGACTGAGTTTTGGAAATCCAGTGAAGAACCGTTAATTTTTAACAAATAGCACTGGAGTACTTGGACATCCATTAGCAGAAAGAAAGGATTCCTGAACTAAAACTCATACTTTATACAAAAGTGAACTCAAAATGGATCATAAATTTAAAGGTGAAACGTAAAACCAGAAAATGTCTGGTGAGGGAGGGCATGGCTCCGTGGTAGAGTGTGGGCTTAGCAGGCACGAAGTCCTGGGTTCAATCCCCAGTACCTCCATTAAATAAATAAACTAACCCCCACCCCTCCGAAAAAAGAAGGAAAAAAGAAAAAGAAAACGTTTAGAAGAAAACAAGTGAAAATCTTCACTAGGATCCAGGGCTATGAGAAGAGTTCTTAGACGTGACACCAAAAACACAATCCATAAAAGAAAAAAATTGATAAATTGGACTTCATCAAGAATTAAAAACTTAATTTGCAAGTCACAAACCTGACAAAGGACTTCTGTCAGATACATAAACAACTCTCCAAACTCAATGAAAAACAATCCAGTTAGAACATGGGCAAAAGACACCAACATGCATTTTAGCAAAGAGGCTACTATGCATCGTGTTCAACACCACTTGCCATTAGGGAAATGGAAATTAAACCACAATAAGATAATTACACCTATTAAAACAATGAAAGTAATAGATGGTGACAATATAAAATTCTTGCAAGGATGCAGAGAAATTGGCTTTCTCATACATTGTGGGTGGGAATGTTCAGTAGAGTCATTCTGGAATACAGTTTGGCTGTCTCTACTTTTTAAAACATTGTTTAAAATATTAATTTTGATATAGTCTATCATGTCAGTAGAGATGCGCCTGTGAAGGAAGAGCCCTGAGCCATCAATTGGTGAACATCTGAATGAGGTCCCAGCTCATCCCAGGGAGAGCACACACCTTCCACACTGTTCCTGTCCACTGATTGCTTCCAAATCCAGGTGACCAGGCCTCGGTCTTCAAAGCAAGTTCACAATGGTTGGCTCAGCCATTCCAGCTGCACCCCTCTTTAATCCCAGGTACATCATGAGAGGAATGAAGCCCCAGTGAGTGGCAAATTGGTGGCTCTTGAAGAGCTGTGGCAGCCCCTGCTTGGCCGCTTTGCCCCGCTTCACCATGGCGACAGCCCAGCATTTTCTTATAAAACGAAACATACACTGAGTATATGATCCAACAAGTGCGCTCCTGGGCATTTATCCCAGAAAAATGAAAACGTGTCCGCCCAAAAACATATACACAAACGTTCATAGCCACTTTTCTTCTTAAAATAGCCCCAAATTGGGGACAACCCAAATTGTCCGTCAGTGAGTAAATGGATAGACTGTGGTCCATCCAGATCATGGATTACCACTTAGCAGTAAAAAAGAATGAACTACTGATACGTTTGACAGCTTGGAGGACCTCAAGGGAATTATGCTGAGTGAAAAAAGCCAATCACAAAGGTGACGTGTAATTCCACTTTTATAACGCCGTTGAAATGACAGCATTAGAGAGATGAGGAACAGATCAGTGGTTGCCAGGGGTTACAGACGGGGAATACGGTGGTGGGGTGGGGGGTGGCTACCAAGCGGTGGCAGGAGGAAGATCTTTGTGGAGATGAAAGAGTTCCGTACCTTGATTGTGGTGTGGTTACATGAATTAACAAAGGTGATGAAGTTGACAGAACTACACACACACACACAAATGGGTGCGTGGAAAACCGGTGAAGTCTGTGGATGGTGTCGATGTCAGTTTTCCGGGCTTATACAAGACGTTATCGTTGAGGGAAACTCAGGGTACATGAGACGTTTTGTAATGTTTTTATAACTTCCTACAAATCTATATTTATTTCAAAATAGAAAGTGAAAAAGGGAACTTGGGTAAAAATTCGACATTATGAATCAGAGTAAAATCCTCTCATCTTTGGGCTGCTGTTCTGTTCCTACGTGTCAGAGGTGGGCGTAGGAGGTCATTCTGGTTTCCTCCTTTCTATCAAAAGATCTGTCTGCCACCAACTGCAACAGTGCCTGGCCTATTGTGGCCATTTTTTGGAGTGAATAAATTGGCAGTGAAGCCTATCTTTATTTTAATAACAGTTGGTATAATTGGCAACATATTTCCAAGGGGCACACACTGCAAGTTGTCCTTGCAAGGAGGAGGGTGGGCTCAAGGACTGGATGCTCTCCCACCACTTTTGGCCTCAGTGTCCTTTGAGCTCAACCTGTATGCTGGTGGGTAGAACGTTCAGAGTCCTTCTCTGGGCGCAGAGGGTATGACAGCCTAGACATTCTATGAAGGCGGCTGAGTTGCCACTGGATCCTCAAGGCCTGGTGGGGTGCTTGGCTTGTCACTCAAAAAACTGGCTGAGTGCTTCTGCCCAAAGCCAGGCACTGTTCTAGGCACTGGGGAAACTCCAGTGAGTGAAATAAAGTTCCTGCCTCCAGGAAGCTGGCATTCCAGAAGGAGAAACAGACAACATCCAAGTAAGCAATTGTTTCAAATTATAACAAGGGCCTTGAGGGAGAATTCAGGGGCACGTGTGCCCTGACATAGGGGTGGCCTTTCGGAGGAAGCAACATTGAGATTAGTGAGACCTGAGTGATGGGAAGGAGCTAGTCAGGCCAAGAGCAGCCCAGAGGGAGGGAACAGACTGCGCAAAGGCCCGGGGGCAAGAATGAGTCTGGGCAGGAGCCCAGGGTGAAGCTGGAGAGGAAGGCAGGGGCCAGTTCCCATAGTGTTTCGTTTACTGAACACCCTGAGTTGAGGTATTTATTATCTTCAGGTTCCATTTGGAGGAACTGAGGCTCAGAGAGGTGTGGATCCAGGCCCAGGTGCAAAGTGGGAGAATCCGGGCAGCCTCGTAGTCTCCACCTC